GTGTGTGAGATTATCTGAATTGATCTGTGTTTGTGCCGTGTGTATCAGAATGTGGTGATGTGGACAACCAGCTCCTTATTGGGGGAGTGTGTGGGGGGGCAGAGTGGAGTGGGGGGAAGAACAGGACACTGTGGGAACCATCCTTACATCATACCAGTGCTGTGATAGAGGGTGGCAGTAGTTGGGCCCCTCCTACTTTGTGCAGGTTGCCAGACCTTTGGAGCTGATGGCAATTCTTTCATTACCCCCTACCCTGGCAGGTTCACAGAAGCTGAGGCCATGGTGATGGGGGATGTGACGTATGGCGCCTGCTGCGTGGATGACTTCACTGCCCGTGCCCTGGGAGCCGACTTCCTGGTGCATTACGGCCACAGCTGCCTGGGTACCCAGAGCCCATGCGGTGGCAGCTCTGCTTGTGACTTCTCCCTCTCCTCTGCAGCCTCATTCGCTTTCTTTTCCCCCAGATTTTGCTCTCAGTCTCTTTTCATTGCTGGGAAGGCCAAGGCCTCCCTGATCCCCAGGTAGAACCATCCTTTGGATTTGGTTGCCATAGAAACAGCTGCTGTCCCAGATGTGGGTGTTCTAAAGCTTGGCTGAAGCAGTGAGGGTCCTAAATGGGTGGGATTGGAAGAGCCAGGTTGTGCCTGCTCCCCACCCAGCCCCCCTCCTGGCTTCTGGGCTGATTCTGTAGCCATGAGCCAAGCCCTCGGGGTCCCTCCCAGAGCACAGGGAGAATGTCAGCATCCTGACCGATTTCCTTCTGCCCCCAGTGCCCATCGACATCTCGGCCCAGGGCCTTCGGATGCTCTATGTTTTCGTAGATATCCGGATAGACGCTGCCCACTTATTGGACTCAGTTCGACTCACCTTCCCCCCAGAGACTTCCTTGGCGCTGGTCAGCACCATCCAGTTTGTATCTACTTTACAGGTGAGTGGAATCAAGGAACGTCAGAGAAATCTCACTGCCTCCGAGCTGTGTCCTCCCAGCCAATCTCTTCTCTTTTATTGTCCACAACACAGATAGTTGCCCAAGAGCTGAGAACTGAGTACAAAGTTTGTGTGCCTCAATGCAAGCCACTGTCCCCTGGAGAGATCCTGGGCTGCACATCCCCTCGGCTTTCAGAGGATGTGGAGGCCATTGTGTGAGTTCTGGAGGCAGGGGACAGAGGAACCTCTAGACGCTAACATTGGAGGTTGAAGGGACCTTGGATTTCACCTGGTCTAGTGCCCTCATTTTATAGGAGACCTGTGACTTGCGCAAGGTCACACAGTGGCTTCTCTGGGCTCTAGTGTTCTTTTCAAGATGTGAATATCTTGATGTGAATTGGAATTGGGTGGGAGAGAACTGGGAGGGGCAGAGGGTGGGGGCCAGGGAGGTGGGATCGAAGTGCTGGGGAGGTAATTGGAGAAGACGAATGGCCAGGCCCACACTGCAGCCCCATTAATTTAGCATCAGGACAGCTAACGAGCAGGAGCACACCATCTCCTGCTGCCTAATTATTTTAGGTAATGGAAATGCTTAATGTTGTGTGAATGCAGACTGCCTTGGAGGAAACTGTTCCCCCAGCCCTGAGGAGGGGCCCCTCACTCTCCACCCTAATCCAAGGGAGGAAAAGGTGCTTCTCAACTCCCCCTGTCCCAGGGCCTGCCTGAAGCTGGTATCTCTGGCTGGACCCTTGTCCCAAAGGGGAAGGCTGTTTTTACCCTAGATCTCTGCCCTTTGTAGGATAGAGAACATTCAGTTCTACAGACAGGCCCCTGTCTGATCCTTCCCAGCCCTGCCCTGCCCTGCCCCCACCTCCTCTCTGGCAGCCATTTCCCTGACGCCTGTGGTCAGTTGATATCTCTTCCCCAGATAAGTACCTGCACTTAGGGGCCTCTGAGCATAGGTGGGGGAGGGGAAGAGGCAGTGTGGAGGGCAGCTGCTCATTAAAATTGAATTGGTCCCCTAGGGTGTGTAGGAAGGGGCTGTTCTGGAGATGGAGGCTTTCTCCCACACCCTGGTCCTTTTAAAGATGAAGAAGGGTATTGTTGGACCACTGGACAGGAAGGGGCTTGGGGGCAGCCCTTCACAAAGAACAGAATTAGAGGCAGTGCATTGGTGTGCCTGTGAAGCCCTTCCTCCCCAGGGTACACATCAGCTTTCTGTTTCCCAGCCTCAGGAGTTGAGAGGGGGCCTCCCCTCAGTCTTCATCTGGGATTAGGCTCGAGGGCATGCTAAACATTCTTCTGCACTCACAGGTATCTTGGTGATGGCCGTTTCCATCTTGAGTCTGTCATGATTGCCAATCCTGGCATTTCTGCATACAGGTACTGGAATGCTGCGGTGTAAGGGCCTTCCGGTGTGTTTTGCTTCTGCCCTGGCTCCACTTGGTAGAAATTCTGCTTCACTCCCTTTGAGGACTGGGTCAGCCCCATAGCTCGGGGGATCTGAGGGGTCGGGCATGGTGGGAGTAAGATCCCAGCTGCCGATGAGCCAGCTTCCTGGGGCTGCTGGCTGCCCCTCCCTGTAGGCAGAGCCTTTCTCTGCTTTCTCCCCAACCCTCCCCCTCTTGCCTTCCTTAGCCCTCTCCTCAATTAGCCTTCAACAGCAGAAGCAGGTGGTGGATGGGGCTTGTGTAAGCCGTGTGAACTGGAGGGTGGGGGTAGGGAGTCTTCTGTCTTGGGCACAGCCTCCTGGGCATGGGGGCAGCCTACTCTGCTCTGCAGGTATGACCCGTACAGTAAGGTCTTGTCCAGGGAGCACTACAGCCATGAGCAAATGCAAGCTGCTCGCCAGGAGGCCGTCTCCGCTGCCCAGTCTGCCCGATCCTGGGGCCTCATCCTGGGCACCTTGGGCCGCCAGGGGAGCCCCAAGATCCTCGAGGTGAGATGGTAGCCTAGGGGAGGTAGACAATGTCCAGTGTGATCTCTGATTCTCCTGGGGCTGGGCTAGGGCATGATCTGCGTTATCTGCCTGGCTGGCAGGCAGGTGAATGGGGGACACTGCAGCATTAGAGGAGACCCTCCAGGGCCCCTCAGACAGTTATGTCTGCGGATGAGGGAATGGGTCTGTGGGTAGGTGGCCTTGGAGTTCTGATCGGTGTGACTTCCACAGCATCTGGAATCCCGGCTCGGCCAGTTGGGGCTCTCATTCTTCAGGCTGCTGCTGTCCGAGATCTTCCCCAGCAAGCTCAGCCTATTCCCAGAAGTGGATGTGTGAGTTCTAGCGAGCCCCTCCCCCTAAGCAGTCCCCCTAAGGACTCTGAGGGAGCCAAGCAAGACAGGAGCTTGGCAGCACACGTGCCCAAACCACTATCCCACCTTGGGCACCTCAGCACCAGCCTCGACAACAGGGTGGTCATCAGATGCCAACATTTACTGATCACTGACTGGGTCATCTGGCCTTGATCACAGGAGGGTCTGACAGGGCAGGCTTCATACATCATTCCTGCCCTTGGGGAGCTTACAGACTTGGCTGGGGGTCCAGCCCTGCAGAAAAAATTACAAGCTTGGGAGGGGCAGCTAGGTGGCAAAGTAAATAGAGCTCCAGCCAGGGAGTCAGGAGAACCCCAGTTCAAATCTGACCTCAGACACATGACACTTACTAGCTGTGTGACCCTGGGCAAGTCATTTAATCCTGATTGCCTCACCAAAAAGGCAAAAAAAAAAATACAAGCTTCCCTAAAACAAATTTTAGGAGTAGTAGAGGGAGCCTCTAGTCCAGAGGAGCAAATCGCAGAATCATGTATCTCGGCAACTAGAAGACACTCTGAGGTCATCTAGTCCAACCCTTTCATTTTACAGATGGGGAAACTGAGGCCCAGGGTAGTTAAGGTGACTTGGCCTATGGCCTGGGGGGGGTGGCCGAAGTGTGGGGGGGTAATGGAGGTGATGCCAAGGTCATTCACTTGGCCTCTTGCTGGGCAGAATCAGGTCCAGCTTCCGGTGAAGGGGTTCATTGGTCTGCTGAGCCTTTGATACTTTGTCTCAGGTGGGTACAGGTGGCCTGTCCACGCCTCTCCATTGACTGGGGCACAGCCTTTCCCAAACCGCTGCTTACCACCTACGAGGTAACACTGCATGAAGGGTCCCCTGGGCAAGCGGGTCAGGGCTCCCCCTGTCCCCAAAGGCGGGCTACGGTCTCCCTTGGGAACCGTTTACATCTGAGGAAGGATCCAGGATTTGGCCCTGGAAGGGCCTTAGAGGGCCTCTCGGTCTACCCCCTCCATTTACGGATAAGGAAACTGAGGCGCGGAGTGGTTTGGTAACCGGTGCTCCAGCTCTTCTGCCTCGAGGGGCTGCCCCTGGCCCCGAGCTGCAGGGGAGGTGGTGATGTGGGTGGGGCTGCTACCCACGGGGGGGGGGGGGGCACCTGCTCAGAAGCACCACTCCCCCTGCCCCCCGCAGGCAGCTGTGGCCCTGAGGGACGTCTCCTGGCAGCAGCCCTACCCCATGGACTTCTACTCCAGCAACTCCCTGGGGCCGTGGGCAGTGAACCACACGAGCCACCGGCAGGGCTGGCGGCCGAGGGCGTCGTCCTCTGTAGCGGGCGAGCAGGTGGGGCGGCTGGGGGCGTGCTGCGCGTGCGCGAAGAAAGGGGGGAAGGCGGGGGAACTGAAGGGAATCCTCACGGGGAGAGAGGCGCGCAGGCGCTGTCGGCCCCCCTCGTCCGATGGCTGCGAGCCGACGCTGCCGCCCAGCGGCCGTAGAGGGGAAGGACTCCCCCACCTCGGGAGGGCGGGGCGAGCTTCCACGCAGCCTCCCTAACCAGGTTTCTTACTCCGCCAGGTGAAAGTGCCCGTGGCTACCGGGCCGACCGTCGGTTGCAATGACTGTGCCTGCCTCGAGAAGGCAGCGCCTTCGCCCGCGTACTGAACTAGTGTTCCTTGGCCGGAGGCCCATTTCTTGGATTTCATCGCGGCACCTCCCCTTTCCCCCCACCCTGTCTAGGAAAAAATCGTCCAGGCTGGCCACGCCCCTTGTGTTCAGCCCACCCCCAGTCACTTCCGTTTCCGCTTGCTGCCGAGCAGTTTCCGGTTCTCTGGTGTGAAGGTCGCCATGTCGGAACCACGACCTTTGCTGCGGATTTTGTGCCTGGCCGGCTTTAGACAGAGCGAGCGCGGCTTCCGCGAGAAAACCGGGTCTCTGAGGAAGGCGCTGCGGGGCCGCGCTGAGCTCCTGTACCTCAGCGGCCCGCACCCCATCCCAGGGCCCGCCCCTCCGGCTGGTGAGTGGCCCCGCCCACCCCAGTCGCGTGCGTCCCCGCCCCTCGCACGCGGCCTCTCTGCTTGGTTACCCGGAGCTTCCGCGCTGCTCTCCTCTGGCGGGACCTCCCCTTCCCCATCCCCCGTTTGCCACCCTTTGCTCTGTTGCTTCTGCTCCTTTCCCTTGCCCTCAGTTACTCCCCCAGCCCCCCCCATCTGCAGCTCCGGCTCACCGTGTTGCCCTGCTCGTGTTCCCATAGGGTCCTATTCCCCGGAGGAAGACCCTCGAGGTTGGTGGTTCTCGGATCCGGAGGCAGCCGTGTTCTCCGCCCTAGAGGAGCCCGCTGAGTGCCGTGGCCTGGAGGAAGCTTTGGGTGTAGTCGGCCAAGCAATGACCAAGTATGGCCCCTTGGATGGACTCCTTGGTTTTAGTCAAGGGGCGGCATTAGCAGCCCTGGTGTGCGCGCTGGGGCAGGCGGGTGACCCCCGCTTCCCCCTCCCTCGATTTGTCATCTTGGTTTCAGGTTTTCGCCCGAGAGGCCCCAAACTCGCAGTGCCTTCCCCGCAGGTACCCCTGTTGCTACCTTCACTGCACGTGCTGGGAGAGAATGATAGAGTCATCCCTACTCAGGAGAGTCTTGAGCTAGCTGGGTGCTTCTCTGGGGCAGTCACTCTCTCCCACCCTGGTGGCCACTTCATTCCAGCAGCTTCTCCCCAGCGCCAAGTATATCTCAAGTTCCTGGACCAGTTTACAAAGTGAGATTTCTGGGTTCCCTTGACCCTCTGTCCCCGCAACCTATCATTGAGGATACTTGAAGCTCATGGCCAGCCACTCTTTTGCCAGCAAGCTTGACGTGGGTATAGCTCCTAGCCTTCATCGATCAGCTAATAGAGATGTTGGTACCTTTGGGCCCAGACTATGCCCATCCTCCAGAGAGGAGCAGGGTTGTGAACTCTGCAGTCAGATGAAGGAGGATTCAACTGGGAAAGGGCAAAAAGGCTGAGACACTGGACAGATTTTCTGTGCCGTAGTTTCTATGACAAGAAATGGGCTGATTGACCTGTCGGGAATTTAAAGCGGGTATATTGGGCTAAAAGTGGACAGGAAAGGGGTGGATTCAGAGAAATGTTAGTAATGTAATTGCCACCCAATAAACCATATATTTTGATATTTGAGGTGTTTGTTTCTCTAGTGCACACATATACCAGTCGCATGGAGGGAGCCTCTGGCCTACTCAAATTAAGCAGGGTGGGCTAAGCAGTCAGACTTCTTGAACTCTGAAGTACTTGACTCTTGACCACCCTCCTGTACATTCTTTTGACACTGCTCTCCCTTGGTTCTCCTCTTCTCTGACCATTCCTTCTCAGTCTGGTTTGCTGGATCATCATTCTGTGCCCTGACTCTATGTGTTGGTGCATCACAGGGCTTTCTGCTCTACTCTGCAAGTGATCCTTTCACTAATGATGATCATCTATATTCAAATAAAACTCGTAGACTTATCCAGCTTTGACTTTGCCAAACTGCCTATTGAATATTCCCAACTGGCATCTCAAGACCAGTACTCATTTTTATCTCCAAACTCTCCTCCCTTCTTCCTAACTTTCCTGTTTCTGTTGAGGATGCCACTGTCTTTCCAGGCCCCCCCCACTTTCAGTCTTGGTATCATTTTTCCATCTCTTATCCAGTCAGTTGTCGTCTATTCGCTTGTTTGTCCCCATCTCTCCACTCACATTCACCACCATACTTCAGACTCTTCATCTTTTGCCTGGATTACTGCAGTTAGCCTCATTGGGTACCCAGCCTCCACTTTCTGCTTTCTATCCTTCCTCCACACAGTTGTCAGTGATACACTTTAAAGCCCAGGTTTGGTCATGTTCCTCCCCCGTTCAGAGCAGCTCCGGTGGCTATTGGATTGTAGGAATAAAATAAAACATGTTTGGCATAGAAAGCCCTTCACAGTCTGGTTTCCAGCCTGTCTTTCCAGGTCTGCTACTGTGCAATTCTTTTTTCCTCTTGCACACTCTGTGTTTCATCCAAGTTAGCAGTTATTCCCCGTATATTTTGTGTCCTTGTGTCTTTGTATAGGGTGTCCTCTGTGCCTGGGTGCAATCTTGATGTCTCTAAGCCTTGTCGATCCCTAGCTTCCTTTAAAGCTTAGTTCTAGCACCATCTCCTCCATGAAACCTGCCCTAATTCCCCCACACCCCTTTGCTAGCGTTCCTCTTGGGAATGATTTTGTATTTATGTGTGGGTTGTTTCACCCCAATAGAATGAAAGCTACTTGTGTGCCTCCAGTTCTCATCTCACAGCAGGTGTTAAATAAATACTTTTGAATGAATGGGTGTGAATGAAGTGCCCTGGGTAGGGGCTGAATGAGTGTGTCGGCCACTCCCAAGACAAGTGTACAAAATACACACATACATCCCCAAGTTTCTCATTTGAATTTTCCATTTTTGGTCTGAAGGCACTTTGTCCACGGGCGAAGAGGAAAAGGAAAAGAGATCCTCACTCAGAGGCCCAGGCAAGAGTAAGATTCGTAGAATTCCAGTAGAATGGAGTCACAGGACAGCTTTCTGAAGTCTTCTGTGTAGCAGCAGCTAGACCTGAGCCTGACAGCCTTACCCTTGGGAGGCACAGTCAGTGGCTTCCCAGTCACTCCTCTGGAGACATCCCAGCCCCGCCCCCCCTGCCTTCCACTGTATGACAACTTGGCCCACTGCCCTCTTGTTCCATTTAGTGCTTGGTCCCACCCTCAGCCACGCTACCATGTGATACTGTCCTTCCAGACTGACTCGGAGACAAAGGAAAACCTGCATCACCACTAAGCCATTTGTTCTCTTTCTCAGGCCCTTCCTAAACCCCTTTTGCTTTGGTCCCCACAAGGAGATTTGGAGTTGTCTTTCCCCTCCCCCCTCCCCCCTCCACCCAGCACACCATCTCTGAGCCCTAGGCACTGGCACCCTGGCAGCTATGTGCACAGTCTTGAGGCGCAAGCCTCATTCTAACTTTGAAGAATCTGTGTCAATGTGGGAAGGTGAGTACTTTGAGGGAAACGAGAAAGGAGTGACATTCGCACCTCCATTTCCTGATCTAGAAAATAATGCTTGCTGCTATGCTTACCTCTCAGGGTTCTAAGAATGAAAGATGAGGTTTGATTGTATTTTGAACAGTGGGGAAGGGAGAAGGGAAACCAACCAATCAAAATGCTGTTAACTCCAGACAGCATGATGATGGTGGTGATGATGGGCAGAGTGAGAGTAACTCTTACAATAACAGAAAAAGATCCAAAGCCCCTCATTTTTCAGAAGAGGAAACTGAGGCCCAGAAGTGACCTGAATTGCTCAGTATCACAGCTAGATTTGTGTCAGAGCTGGGAGTAGAACTCAGGTCCTGGCTCCTAATCCAGCATTTCCCCCGTTCTGTGCTGTCTTGTAAGGAAACCCAAGGAAACTGTGCCATCATTTGCCTCAGAACTTCTAGCTCTCCTGTTTACCTGTATGTGGTTCCTGAATCAGTTACTTGTCCTCTGGGCCCTGGCTTCTTCATTTGTAAAATTAGAGAACGAGACTAAAGGTCTAAAGTCTGTTTCCCCAGCTAAAATTCTAAGGTTCTATGATCTCATCCCCTGCCAAATTGCTATTTTAGACACAACTTTCTCTTTCTGTGTGATTCCTGGTCTTTCTGTCCTACCTTCTCTCTCCACAGATTGAGTCCATATTTTCACAGACCTACAAAGCACCCACCTCACAGTTCACAGAACCAAATTTCCCAGCTGTCTGTGGTACATTGGTTGAATGAAAAGAGCTAGGGTTGGGCAGCTAGGTGGCACCGTACATAAGCTCTGGCCTTGGAATCAGGAGGACCTGAGTTCAAATCCAGTCTCAGACACATGGCACTTACTAGCTGTATGACCCTAGGCAAGTCACTTAACCCCAATTGCCTCACAAAAAAGGCAAAAAAAAAAATTAATAATAATAACTAGGGTTAGGAAGGAGCCAGAAAACCTGGATTCTAATTCCAGCTCTGACACAAATTCACTATATCCCCTTAGGGAAGTCACTTCCTTACTAGATAGTCTTATTTTCCTTATCAATGAAATGAGGGAGTTGGACTAATTAGCTCAGATTTCTCCTAGCTCTAGCATCCTAGATGCTTCAGGCTCCAAGACTTTTGCCCTGGATGGAATTAAATAGAAAAGCAAAGTTCACCCTCCTTATGGAGGTGGAACAGGGAAGTTTGAACCCACAACCTGTTGTCTTACAGGGTAAGGATTCAGACCTAGGATGTTCCATTATCTTACACATCTGCAAAGTGGGTTCCTATGTATAGCTACCTACAGTTTGGGCAGTGGGGCTCCAGAAAACCCACCTGCCTGGAAATACCAGTCACACTATGGCTGAAATCTATTGAAGACTTTCTGGAGACATGCACTTAGAACTGCTTTACCTGGCTGAACTCTGGTATCCTAGGAGAACGTTATTTCTCTAGTTTACCATTGCCACGCTAAATGGTACTGGGCAGAAAGTGTTAGTGGAGGAGAGAAGGGAACTATGCCTATAATAGGTTGCATGAAGCCATTCATATTTTCTCCCTCCCTCCTTCTGTTCTGTGTTTCTGTCTCCTGCCTCAGCATGATAATTCTCACCAGTGTCTCTTTTTCTTTGCATGTATTGGGGGTGGGGAAGAGACCCCTGGAAAATTCTATTCTCAAATTCATCCCTGGAAGATCTGACCAATTCAGGCCCCGGTGGCTGCAGGGGCCAAAGATGTCCGACATTGTCATCCGGACATAAAGAGGCTGAACGTAAGATTTGCCATCAAGTCTCCACTTTCTTATTTTGGGCCAGGGAGAGCTTTCAAGAGAAAAAGGGATGGAGTGGCTATGAGAAGGCTGTGACTAATCATCTCTAGGTGCTAGGGGGGTGAGAGATGGCATCAGGAAGGACATTTACCTGAGAGGAGGGACAATGTGGACAGACTCATGGCGACAAATAGACATAGATACAGATAGACTCACTGTGACAAATGGCCGCGATCTTCAGTAGCTTTCGTCTGGGGCTGCTCTCCTTTTTTTTGGGGGGGTGGTAGGGGGCAGCGGTGGGACGGCCCCTCAAGCTGTGTTTAGCTGTAGACCCAGGAATGCCGTGTCCCCAGCCCCAAATGGTGCCAAGGGGTTGGAGGAAGACAAAATGCTTTGCCTCCATAGGTGCCTGGTTCCTGTCTCTCACCCAGGGGAGGGGTGGGGGTGGGGGTCCGGGAGCTTCTGACCCCGCCCCCTCAGCCTTCGGCCCGCCTACAGTCCCACCTCCCTCCCCCAGCCCTCAGACGGGGCGGGCGAAGAAGCGCGCGCCAGAGGAGGGGTGGCGGGGAGGAACGGCCGCGTGGGCGTGCTGCGGGGCGACCATGGCTGTAGACTGTTACCCCCGGTTCCCACAGTAACAATCGAAAGCCACGGTTGCCCTGGAGACGCGGGGGCGGGGGTGGGGCGCGCGAGTGACGGCATCTCCGTAGCTTCCTGACGTCACAGACTGCGGCTGGGGGGGGTAGGGGAGGGCTAAGGCTAGGTTGTGGGGGGTGAGGAGGGGGAAAGGGGAATGTTGGAGAAGAGGAGAAGGTTGGCGCAGTTCCAGGGGCCGCTCAGTGGAGCAGCCCCGGCCCCAAAAAGGTTTGGTCGGGATACTTCGTGCCATAAATGCCCTGCTTCCCCCATGAAATTTTCCAGGCTGGGGTCTTGTAGTCCCGGATGTCCGGGGCCGCAGCCAGGGAGTGGACTGCGGCATTTCCCGCGGGGTCTGCCTACACCCCCTACGACCTGTTGGCCTGCACTCGAACCTTGGCTGGGGGCTCAGTCGCAGCACTGCAGCCCCGGGGTGCCGAACGCAGA